GCCGGATTCACTTCACAATGGTGCAACTCACTTAACAACCACAGTGATTCACTTAACGGCGGTGGCCAAAAAGGTTGCAAAATGGGGCGTGACTCACTTAACAAGGGTCTCACTTAGCAACAGAAGTGTTGGGGCTCCGTTGTGGTCAGAATCGATACGGGCTCTGTTGCTGAGGGCTTGAATTTGTGGCTGCAGGGAAGCTGCGACGGTCGTTAAGTGCGAAAAAGGGTGGCGACTCCCTTCTTTCCGTGCTTTATACTTCAAACGGTCATTAAAAGGTCGTAAGCCGAGGACCACAGGAACAGGGTAGAACCGTTGCATTCCCGCTGTTGCCAGTCCCGGAAAACCGGAGGCGGCCAGGCCGGGAAGGGAGCTGGTGAACTTTGGCCGGGTGTGGCAGCCCTGGGCTGGCCTGGAGGAAACCGAGGAGAAGAAGGGAGGGAAGGAAGGAAGGAAGGAAGGAAGGAAGGAAGGAAGGAAGGAGAGGAGGAGGAAGGAAGGAAGGAAGGAAGGAGGAGGAGGAGGAGGAAGCGGGCTGCTGGCACAAGAGGCTGGGTGAATGGCAGCGCGGGTGAGAAGGGTGAAGAGCAAGCAGGAAGCAGACATCCACACACCAAAATAACACAGTTGGAAGGGTCCATGGAGGTCTTCTAGTCCAACCCCCGATTGAGCAGGAGATTGTCCAATCTCCAGTGATGGAGCAGCCACAAGTTCTAGTGGCCAGCTGTTCCCCTGGTTCATTGCCCTCCCTGTTAGGAAGTTTCTCCATAATTCCAGGTTGTTTCTCTCCTGGACTAGTTTTCATCCATTTCCTTCCTTCCCTCCTTTTCTTTTCTCCCTTCCTTCTTTCCTTTCATCCTTCTTTCATTCCTTCCTTCCTTCTTTTTTCCCCCTTCTTCCTTCCTTCTTTTATTTCATCCTTTTCCTTCCTTCCTTTCTTTTTTCCCCCTCCGTCCTTCTTTTCTTTCTTTTTTCCCTCCTTCCTTCTTTCCTTTCTTTTTTTCCTTCCTTCTTCCCTTTCTTCTTTTTCCTTCCTTCCTTTCTTTTTTCTTTCCTTTTTTTCTTCCTTCCTTTCCTTTCTTCCTTTCCCTTCCTCCCTCTTTTTTCCTTCCTTCTT